TTTAATATTTGCGGTAATAAATTTTATTTGAAGACATGAATATTTCATAAGACAATTGAAAATTTATTATAAGCTAGTAGTTTAATATTTCCGAATAACTAATGATATTTCTACAATACGGAAAAAAATATTTTCGAATATTTTTTAAATTTAGGTTACGAGCTAATAATATTTCTACAATTCGGAAAAAAATCTTCGAATATTTTTTAAATTTAGGTTACGAGATAATATTTCTACAATTCGGTTACGAGATAATATTTCTAAATTTAGGTTACGAGCTAATAATATTTCTACAATTCGGAAAAAAATATTTTCGAATATTTTTTAAATTTAGGTTACGAGCTAATAATATTTCTACAATTCGGAAAAAAATCTTTTCGAATATTTTTTAAATTTAGGTTACGGGCTATCTTAAGACATGAATATTTCATAAGAAAGTGAAAATGTATTATATACTAGTAGTTTAATATTTCCGAATAACTTTTAAATTTAATATTTGCGGTAATAAATTTTATTTGAAGACATGAATATTTCATAAGACAATTGAAAATTTATTATAAGCTAGTAGTTTAATATTTCCGAATAACTAATGATATTTCTACAATACGGAAAAAAATATTTTCGAATATTTTTTAAATTTAGGTTACGAGCTAATAATATTTCTACAATTCGGAAAAAAATCTTCGAATATTTTTTAAATTTAGGTTACGAGATAATATTTCTACAATTCGGAAAAAAATCTTTTCGAATATTTTTTAAATTTAGGTTACGGGCTATCTTAAGACATGAATATTTCATAAGAAAGTGAAAATGTATTATATACTAGTAGTTTAATATTTCCGAATAACTTTTAAATTTAATATTTGCGGTAATAAATTTTATTTGAAGACATGAATATTTCATAAGACAATTGAAAATTTATTATAAGCTAGTAGTTTAATATTTCCGAATAACTAATGATATTTCTACAATACGGAAAAAAATATTTTCGAATATTTTTTAAATTTAGGTTACGAGCTAATAATATTTCTACAATTCGGAAAAAAATCTTCGAATATTTTTTAAATTTAGGTTACGAGATAATATTTCTACAATTCGGTTACGAGATAATATTTCTAAATTTAGGTTACGAGCTAATAATATTTCTACAATTCGGAAAAAAATATTTTCGAATATTTTTTAAATTTAGGTTACGAGCTAATAATATTTCTACAATTCGGAAAAAAATCTTTTCAAATATTTTTTAAATTTAGGTTACGGGCTATCTTAAGACATGAATATTTCATAAGAAAGTGAAAATGTATTATATACTAGTAGTTTAATATTTCCGAATAACTTTTAAATTTAATATTTGCGGTAATAAATTTTATTTGAAGACATGAATATTTCATAAGACAATTGAAAATTTATTATAAGCTAGTAGTTTAATATTTCCGAATAACTAATGATATTTCTACAATACGGAAAAAAATATTTTCGAATATTTTTTAAATTTAGGTTACGAGCTAATAATATTTCTACAATTCGGAAAAAAATCTTCGAATATTTTTTAAATTTAGGTTACGAGATAATATTTCTACAATTCGGTTACGAGATAATATTTCTAAATTTAGGTTACGAGCTAATAATATTTCTACAATTCGGAAAAAAATATTTTCGAATATTTTTTAAATTTAGGTTACGAGCTAATAATATTTCTACAATTCGGAAAAAAATCTTTTCGAATATTTTTTAAATTTAGGTTACGGGCTATCTTAAGACATGAATATTTCATAAGAAAGTGAAAATGTATTATATACTAGTAGTTTAATATTTCCGAATAACTTTTAAATTTAATATTTGCGGTAATAAATTTTATTTGAAGACATGAATATTTCATAAGACAATTGAAAATTTATTATAAGCTAGTAGTTTAATATTTCCGAATAACTAATGATATTTCTACAATACGGAAAAAAATATTTTCGAATATTTTTTAAATTTAGGTTACGAGCTAATAATATTTCTACAATTCGGAAAAAAATCTTCGAATATTTTTTAAATTTAGGTTACGAGATAATATTTCTACAATTCGGAAAAAAATCTTTTCGAATATTTTTTAAATTTAGGTTACGGGCTATCTTAAGACATGAATATTTCATAAGAAAGTGAAAATGTATTATATACTAGTAGTTTAATATTTCCGAATAACTTTTAAATTTAATATTTGCGGTAATAAATTTTATTTGAAGACATGAATATTTCATAAGACAATTGAAAATTTATTATAAGCTAGTAGTTTAATATTTCCGAATAACTAATGATATTTCTACAATACGGAAAAAAATATTTTCGAATATTTTTTAAATTTAGGTTACGAGCTAATAATATTTCTACAATTCGGAAAAAAATCTTCGAATATTTTTTAAATTTAGGTTACGAGATAATATTTCTACAATTCGGTTACGAGATAATATTTCTAAATTTAGGTTACGAGCTAATAATATTTCTACAATTCGGAAAAAAATATTTTCGAATATTTTTTAAATTTAGGTTACGAGCTAATAATATTTCTACAATTCGGAAAAAAATCTTTTCGAATATTTTTTAAATTTAGGTTACGGGCTATCTTAAGACATGAATATTTCATAAGAAAGTGAAAATGTATTATATACTAGTAGTTTAATATTTCCGAATAACTTTTAAATTTAATATTTGCGGTAATAAATTTTATTTGAAGACATGAATATTTCATAAGACAATTGAAAATTTATTATAAGCTAGTAGTTTAATATTTCCGAATAACTAATGATATTTCTACAATACGGAAAAAAATATTTTCGAATATTTTTTAAATTTAGGTTACGAGCTAATAATATTTCTACAATTCGGAAAAAAATCTTCGAATATTTTTTAAATTTAGGTTACGAGATAATATTTCTACAATTCGGAAAAAAATCTTTTCGAATATTTTTTAAATTTAGGTTACGGGCTATCTTAAGACATGAATATTTCATAAGACAATTGAAAATTTATTATAAGCTAGTAGTTTAATATTTCCGAATAACTAATGATATTTCTACAATACGGAAAAAAATATTTTCGAATATTTTTTAAATTTAGGTTACGAGCTAATAATATTTCTACAATTCGGAAAAAAATCTTCGAATATTTTTTAAATTTAGGTTACGAGATAATATTTCTACAATTCGGAAAAAAATCTTTTCGAATATTTTTTAAATTTAGGTTACGGGCTATCTTAAGACATGAATATTTCATAAGACAATTGAAAATTTATTATAAGCTAGTAGTTTAATATTTCCGAATAACTAATGATATTTCTACAATACGGAAAAAAATATTTTCGAATATTTTTTAAATTTAGGTTACGAGCTAATAATATTTCTACAATTCGGAAAAAAATCTTTTCGAATATTTTTTAAATTTAGGTTACGGGCTATCTTAAGACATGAATATTTCACAAGAAAGTGAAAATTTATTATATACTAGTAGTTTAATATTTCCGAATAACTTTTAAATTTAATATTTGCGGTAATAAATTTTATTTTAAGACATATGAATATTTCATAAGAAAGTGAAAATTTTTAGTATATACTAGTAGTTTAATATTTCCGAATAACTTTTAAATTTAATATTTGCGGTAATAAATTTTATTTTAAGACATATGAATATTTCATAAGACAATTGAAAATTTATTATATACTAGTAGTTTAATATTTCCGAATCACTTTTAAATTTAATATTTGCGGTAATAAATTTTATTTTAAGACATATGAATATTTCATAAGAAAGTGAAAATTTTTAGTATATACTAGTAGTTTAATATTTCCGAATAACTTTTAAATTTAATATTTGCGGTAATAAATTTTATTTTAAGACATATGAATATTTCATAAGACAATTGAAAATTTATTATATACTAGTAGTTTAATATTTCCGAATCACTTTTAAATTTAATATTTGCGGTAATAAATTTTATTTTAAGACATATGAATATTTCATAAGAAAGTGAAAATTTATTAGTATATACTAGTAGTTTAATATTTCCGAATAACTTTTAAATTTAATATTTGCGGTAATAAATTTTATTTTAAGACATATGAATATTTCATAAGAAAGTGAAAATTTATTATATACTAGTAGTTTAATATTTCCGAATCACTTTTAAATTTAATATTTGAGGTAATAAATTTTATTTTAAGACATATGAATATTTCATAAGACAATTGAAAATTTATTATATACTAGTAGTTTAATATTTCCGAATAACTAATGATATATCTACAATTCGGAAAAAAATCTTTTCGAATATTTTTTAAATTTAGGTTACGAGATAATAATATTTCTACAATTCGGAAAAAAATCTTTTCGAATATTTTTTAAATTTAGGTTACGAGATAATAATATTTCTACAATTCGGAAAAAAATCTTTTCGAATATTTTTTAAATTTAGGTTACGGGCTAATAATATTTCTACAATTCGAAAAAAAATCTTCGAATATTTTTTAAATTTAGTTTACGAGATAATAATATTTCTACAATTCGGAAAAAAATCTTTTCGAATATTTTTAAATTTAGGTTAAGTACGTGTAATGCCGAGTACTAAGACCCTGAGTATCGAGTACGAGTAAAGTTGTATAAAAGCCGAGAGATCGAGTCGGGTATACTCGTACTCGACCCGACTCGGACGTACTCTAGAATATAGTTATGAAACCACATTTTGTTAAATGGCTGAAAGAAAAATGTAAAAATTATTATGGTATTTTTTTATTTCTAAAATTGTGTATAAGTCCGATTTACCCGATTTTATGTCTTAATAATGGCCACCGTAGTTGCCGGATTTGAGCCCAATTAACCAATATTTTGGTTTATTTTTTGGGGGCAAGGTTTTGCTATTAATAACGCAAAAGTGTGGAGTCGCTTATGAGAGAAAATCATGCTTGATGTGCCAACTATCGTCCAAAATTCTTCCATCGCCTTAAATCCCTATTTAACTCTATTTAATACAAACTTTACAAAAATATAAATTTGAGGTTTTTCATAAAAATTATTATCAAAAAATTTTCAAATATTTTTCCCTTTTTTCTCCTCATCTTTATTTAGCCATTCAGGTGCTTCCATTTCGAAAATTTTTAAAGCATCATTAATGCTACTTTTTGCTCTAATTTTAATACATTCCATTTTTTCTTTGAATTCTGGATCATTTTCTGGTGTTCCTCTTTCAAAAAACGGAATTTCCATAACCCTGCCAATAGCTTGTGAAATAATTGCCAAATTGTAAACATGTTGAAGCTTTAAAAAAATTTAGAAATATAGTGGCATTAAATTTGGCTGATTCTGGGAAATATTCCGATATCGGAATACGGATCCGGTATTAGAATCCGAATTTCAACAAGTCCGAATTAGGATCCAACCTGAAAATTTTTGAATTCATGATTCGTAACCGAAATTTTTATTAAACTAAGGAAGATTGTCTGGTGTCGGAGAGTCTTGCGAATAATTTTCAGGAAGGCTAAGAAATTGTGGTGGAAGGAATTTTGGAAGGCCAAAATAAATTTCTTTAAAAATAATGGTCATCATTAGGGATGTAAATAGGCGGAAGAGGGGGGGACGGCGAGAAAACATTATTTAGAGATTTCAGATAGATTCATAGGCAGTATTCTGATCTATATTAATTTTAAAATTAAATTTTTAAAATATTTTTTAAATATTTAAAATTACATACTTCCTCAATTCCATACTTTACTTTTTCCATTCCTTGTTCAACTAATTTTTTATTTAATTCATTCAAATATAGTTCTAAAACTGTCCCTTCCTTTTCAATATTTTTACGTAGATCGGGTTCTACAGTTGCCAACATTAACCGAGATATATCAGTCATTGGATTGCCTTTGAAAATATTTCTTTAATTGTTAGCTATTTACTGGTTGGCTACCTTATTCTATTTTAGCTTACAGCTAAAATTAATTAATTGATCTTGTCTAACAACTTTTAAAATTTACCTATAGTTGCCAATTGCCAGTCTATAAAAGCTGCAAGTCTGTTTGGATTATTGTTATACCATAATAAATTATTATTCCATAAATCCCCATGTGTAAGGATTTCAGGAACACCTTAAGAATCATTTTTAATATTAAAAAATATTTTTTTATTTTCAAAAATTAATTGTGTATAGAGAACTCCAAAAAATAAGCAATGAAAGTATTGAGTCGATGTTTCAGTCAATAGAATGATACTAGCATTAAGCTGATTGTACATATACTCCCTTAATATTTTACATTCTCTCTAAAATACAGAACTGAGTGTGGGTTCATTGTCAATCGGCTTCTTCTAAACAGAGTGATCCAAAAGTTTATTGAGAACTTTATTCAAATTAAACTAATGGGATCAAATAAAGCTTAAACGATAGAAATAAATAAAGGATAAATGCTTGATACAGGATAGGCTTGTACAAAAATTGTGGGCATTGTTCGCTTCTTCTCGAGTGATATTTTCTCCCATTCCTGATCGACCGAATAACTAAGCAACTCCACACTTTTGTGTTATTTACCGCAGACCCTTGCTTCAAAATAAACCAAAAATTTAATCCATTGGACTCAAATCCGGTGAGAACGTCGGCCATTCTTGAGACTTTGGCTATTCTTGAGACACATAAACATATCCACAATTTTCAAAATAAATAAAATAAAAGTACCATAATTATTTTCACATTTTTCCTTCATCCATTTAACAAAATCTGGTTTCATAACTAAATTGCCAATTATTTTAAATGGTTCCACAATATCTTCTAGAAATAATTTTTTATGAATTATAATACAATCTAATCAAAAACCATCAAGTTCCATAATTTGTTCAATCATTGCCGAACCAAATTCTTCAGCCATACCCTGTCCCCACATTTCTTCTATTGTTACAAATTCTTTCTGCCATTTTCCTTTAATTTTAGGCAAAGACAAATAAGCATGTAAATGTGCCAAGTATTTAACAACTTCCATTATCTATATTTTTATATTGATGACTGGTATTAGATATCAGGGATCAAAAATCGGGAATTCCAAAACTTTTTTGAATACGGAATCCCGATTCACAGAAATTTTCATAAAAATTTTCAAACAATTTTAATATGAAAGTCTAAATTTTATTCAAGTGATTTTATAATTTCTTAACACTTATTTTTGAGAGAAAAAACTCGATAAACCCCGATCGAGTGAAATAAAAATCTCAGATTAATGGTTGTATCGGACACAGAAAACCGAATATAATTTATATGAAGTATTTCAACCAACTATTTCTAAAGTGGGTGGGCTTTAATCCAAAGTGGAGCTCTATTTCAAAGCGTGATTCTAATTCAAAACGTAATCTAATTCAGAGTGGGTCTTATAGGAATACGGTAAATTAAGTTTACTTGTATTTCATTTAATCCTTTAGTTAAAGGTGTAATATGTGTATTTTCAGTCAAATCCTCCATCAAAATTACTCCTTGTGGCCCAATCTTATTAATCATATCGTCTTCTTCATTTTCCTTTTCTCTACAATTTTTTGTAAAATAAATTTTTGGTATAGGCAAAGGGGGATATTCTATATCATTCATCATTTTATAAAATAAACATTCGTTTTTATGCATTCTTGTAAATGATGCCATTGATTCCTAAATAGTAGAAAATATTTTTACATAGTTTTAAAAATATTGGAGCTTTGACCGGGTACACGGTCCCACCCCCTATGGTTTTTCGATTTTCGAAGAACTATATCTCGGTCCACAGGCATCTCCGGCAAAAAAGAGTGATCCGTTTTGACTCAGCTCGCTGAGACGAATCGAATGGTATGGGTCTTGTATCGGAACTAAAACTCCGGTATACTAAACTATATCCAAAATTTGCTCGGATTGGCCTTCGGATAACTCGTGTTATCTTTTGTCATTAAGAATTAAATTAATTTTTACCTTTAACACAGGATTAATTTTTGTCGATACAACCTTATCATTTATTTCTTCATTGTTATTATTTTCTATTGTCAATTTGTCTGTAAATTTTAACATAACTTTTTCCAATCTTTCCTTTCCAAAAAAATGTTGTAAAAGTATTTCAATCCTCTCATCAGCAAAAATTTTTAAAATTAAAGAAAATTTGTTTGGAGAATTTTTTATTCTGTTGTTAATTCCATTTGTATATTTTATATTAATTATTAAACGAAGTAATCTTGAAGTAAAGCCTTTGCCATCATTTATGTCTATTGCTTCAATCTTTAAAAATGTTAATTTTATCTTTTTCCTTAAAAAATGTTTTAAAAATAATAATCCTTCTATTTTTTATTAAACCAATAATATTTCCAGACTATTAAACTTTAAGGGTAAGGAGACTTATCGGGACGGATATATCGGGATCCAAGTACTCAGTGTTCGTAAGTCGGGAAGCCAATAAATTAGCTTTTCATTAAGTAAAACATCCTAATATGTCCGTCCCGTTATTTTGCCTCCCATAATTTTAAAACAAGAAATTTTTTGTACTTTTGGCTATTTTCCTTAATTTTCCAATTATGTTTCTTCGTAATCGAGATGTCAGATGGTGACGGTTCCTTATGATCAATGACGGTTCCTTATGATTCTTAACGTGGCTCCCAAAATTTTGATAAAGTTGGTAGTTGCTGAAGACGAGCAGCAATCGAGACGAGGAAACATAATTGGAAAAGTAAGGAAATAGGTAAAAAAATAAGAATTAGAGACGAGACTGGGAAGGTGATTATTTCGAAAAATATCTATGCATCTAGATAGCTTTTATTTTTGATCGTGTTTTCGTTTTTTTTGATCTTTATATTTACTCCTTAAAAAAGAAGGATTTTCCATATATGTAGATTTTACTCAGAAATTTCACCTAAAAATTTTTAGAGATTAATTTTTTACCTTCTCAACGAATCCCCCATTTTCTAAAATTTTTCTAAATTCAATACTTCCATTAGCCAATTCATTAATTATATAACCAAAAGTAATCCAATTGTATTCTAATATATATTGTGATTTTAATTTTGCATTAATAAATTTATCAAAATTAGAATTATTTTTGTTTTCATCTTCACAACAATTATTTGAAATAATTAAATTTGAAGGAGTTGAATTATTTATTTGGATATTATTTGTCATTTTAATTTTAAGTATAAACTATCTAATTTAATTAAAATTGATAGCTAATATTTTTAAATTATTAAATTAATAAATACGTAGATATAAGATAGCAGGAAGAAGCCTTTGTGCGTTATATTTCAAATTTTGGTTAATGCCTTTTCCACATTAATTTTCCACATTAAAAATGCCTAACACTATTAATTTTGTATCTCTATCACGGATCAGTGGGGTTGGCTTAATTTCTTGTTTCACCCGAAACGAAATATGAAATTTTACATTTCGATTCGAAATAAGAAATTCATTATTTTAGCCATTACAGATAATCTTTTCGACCCAACCCCAACCTGACTTTTTTCATTCCGTCTCATCACTGATCTCCATTAATTAAAAAACCAAAATATTTTAACATAAAATTATAAGAAATTTTTATAAAATTATATAAAATTATAAGAAAATTCAAAAACTAAGACTATAGAGATTTTTAAAGTTTTATTTATTATTTACAAAAATACTTATAAGAAGAATTGAACGTAATCAATTTGCAATTGTAGTTTATTAATATTTATTTATTTCTAACGTTTAAGTTAAAAGAAGAAAATTTTTTGGTTCAATCACAAAATACATTTTTTAAATATTAAGGAGGCTTAGGTATACAATTTTTTTGTTAAAAATAAAGTAGTTAAAGTCCTTAGATAAAAATTTTAAATGATTAATATTAATAAAGGAATCAAAATTTTTTAAATAAATAAAGCAAAAAATAATTTAGAAAATAACGAGACAAAAAAATAATTTAGAAAAATAGATAAGAATTATAATAAATAACTTGATAAATAAATTGAGAAAACCGAAACAAAAAATTTAAGTATTATGATTAAATAAAAAAAGGTACCTTGTTTTATTGAATGGCGTCCCTTAATCAAACAGTAGAGTTCGTCACGGGTCAGGATTTTTATTATTCTCATAAATTACCCTGGAAGGAATTCAGATCCTTGGCCATCTAAAATTCTCAAAATTTTCGCCTGCGATGCTGAAAAGTTGAGTCCCAATGAATGGATATAGAGAGCAGGGTTGCCGCCCGAAACCCGATACCCGAAACCCGAAACCCGGCCTTTTTTTGTACCCG